ACATCAATTTTTATTTTTTTATATTTAAAAATATTAACTTCTAATTTTTTTTTCAAGAATTAATTGAATGGTGAGAATTAATATTTTTAAAGACTTTATACTAATGAAAGACTTGATTGACTCTTGGTTATAGCATTATGATCCAAGTCTTCATCAATGCCATCGTGTTGAAATTGTAAATCGAGTTTTTTAAAGACTTGATTGAGTCTTGGTCATGGTATTATGATCCAAGTCTTCGCCAATATCCTTATGTTCAAATTGTAAAGTGGCTTTTTTTTTTTTTTTCCCTTTTGAAGTTTCAACTAATATTAACTACATCATGTTTGCAATGGATGATGTTTACATGTAAACTACTATTGTAATTAGAAAGTAATTTATGTATCAATGCTTTATATTAATTTTCAATTTCATTAAAACTTTGCAAGAAATGAATAGATGAGATTCATGGTATATTATCCCAAGAAAAATTAATGGGCTAAAATTTACTAATAAGTGTAGTAGTCACTTAAGTAATAAAATAATAAAGTAATATATAAGAAGAGTGTCAAATCTATAAAAATTATAATTAATTAAGTACAAAAAATAAGTAATTTTAAAATTATTTAAACAAATTAAAAGAGAAGAATTTTTAATTAAAACTAATTAAAAAATAACAATTTAAAATAAAATTTACCAATGGATGATATGTTAAACCATCTGATTTCACTATAAACAATCAATATAGATCTTAAATTTTTATACTTTTAAGATAATTACCATTCATGTAATAATAGAATTTACTATTCTTTTTAATATACTTTCTCTGATGAAAGCTCACTAAGGATATATTAATAATATAAAGATTACAATTTATTGACAATTTGGTATATAGGCATTACATAAGACTAAATTTCGACTACTATCTCATTCATGGATTGCTATTTTGTCTAAAAATTGGTTTTTACTTTAAAATTTCTTCAACTCATATTAAAAATTGGCACAAGTATCATATTTATTGTAAGTCAATTTTAATATTTATTACTGCAAGAATTAAAATAGTGATGGTAAAGAGAATAGATTAATAAAAATTTAAAATAAGATCTATTGATCTATAATCTATAATCTAAAACAATGAAGATTAAATAACAAAATTAAACTTTGCAAGTTTACCCTTAAATGAATATGGTTGGTTTATTAATTTTATATTGTAACATGTAAAGTTAAAAGTAAAACTAATTTGCAAAGTAGAAGTGAGGAAGCAATTGAAATGATTGTGATGAGTTTACCATTCAGTGCTAGACCCCAGTTGCAAGGATTTTTTTTTATAAAAATATAATTGAGAAATTGACAAAGCCTAAAAAGAGTAAGAAAAAAACTTTAGGTAATCTCTTTTATAGTTTAATTTTTATTGTGATGTCCTCTACAGTCATAGATAATTATTTGACAACATTATTACCAAATGGATAAAATATATTCTTTTGATTAATAAAAAATTGGAGTGAAAAACTAAGACTAATTATATGATTAATAAAAAATTGGAGTGAAAAACTAAGATTAATTATAACTTTTAGAAATAAATCAAGAACCATACATGATTGGATTATCATGTTAAAATGCTAGAAGTATTATAGCATAAAAAATGTAAATTCCAACATCACATATGAGATAGAAACCAAAAATCTTATTAGTCCCTTAAATACTCATCCTTCTAAAGCATTGAATCAAAGAAGTTTGAATAACATAATTTTAAAATGGTCTTGAAAGTTTTTGGTATTCATCTTCGTGAAGATGAAATCTCCTTCATAACAGTCTAATTTTTCCAAATAAGCTTGATATTACAAACTACCATATCTTTCACCCAGCCATACTTCATTTTCTACAACTATCTTATTCATGGATTATTATTTTGTTTAGAAATTCTTCCACTCTTGCATTACGTATTAGCATATACATACATCATATCTATTGCATGTCAATTTCTATATGTACTTGACAAATGTGGTCAACAAAATGTAACTAAGGAAACTTGTAAGCAGTTGCAGAGAAGTGATTGACGGAGAGAACTGAAAAACTAAAGTTATTTTTGACTTCTTTATGAAAGGTGCAACATTGATTTACACACATCATGATTTTTGCATGTCATTTTCCACATATACTTGACAAATGTGGTAAAAAAAACATAACTAAGAAAATTTGTACGCAGTTGCAAGGAGGTGATGGACGGAGAGGATTGAAAAACTGAAGTTATTTTTGACTTCTTTATAAAAGGTGCAACACCAATTTACACACATCATGTTTTTTGCATGTCATTTTCCATATGTTCTTGACAAATGTGGTCAAAGAAAATGTAACTAAGGAAACTTGTAAGCAGTTGTAGGGAAGTGATGTACGGGAGGACTGAAAAATTGAAGTTATTTTTGACTTCTTTATAAAAGGTCTGGCATCAATTTTGTTACTTTTTAGAACAAATAAATTTTCACCAAATGTATTTTTCTTTCTCCGAACTTTGGTTTCCACCTCTTGCCCACTCGAAAATATATGGTAAGTTGATTTTCTTTATTCTTCTTCAATTTCTATTAAAGTTTAGAAGAAAGTTAATTAAAAACTCTTGAGTGTTTTGATTTGTTAAAATCCAACAAGGTTTCTTAGTAAAAAAGAAAAAAGAAAAAAGGCATGAGAAATTGATGAATGGTCATGGGATTAGAAATGACAAAATTGCATTTTTCAGATGTTCACACCCGTATGGTGCCACCGCAGCAAGGACATAGCAAATTCTTTTAAGGGCCAAAAAGACAACAAAATGTACTTTCACCATTTAACATAGCCTCTTCTTAAAGCATTGTAGAACGAAGACAGAATTACAAAGCACAAAGAGAAAATTTGGCAATTTTTTAAACTAATAAAGAGAACACTACAACAAAGAGACAGAAGCCATCCAAAACGAAAACATTGTATTGAAAAGAGTAATTTTCATTTTTCAAGTAACTCGAATCTAGAAGGTCTAAAACATCAACTCTTTAACTGGTTTCTTCTTCGGGGCTTTCTTCATCTTAATTCCACTTTGATTTGGTTGTCCATCAAACAAAGACAAACCATTTTGGTTTTCCAGTCCGAAAGATACCCCACCAATAGTCCAAACACCAAACCACAACCATAGCCCAACAAGACAACTAAAAAAAAAAAACTATTTCAAGTACCATTAATCTCTCAATTTTCTCAAGAATTGAGTAGGTGTTTAGGGGAAAAAATATGGAGACAATTGAAACTTGGAATACCTACTTGGCTAAGTTGAATTGTGATGGGGAATTCAGCAATCATGGAAAATAGTCAAAATTTTGAAGACATAATAAGACTGAGATAGTACACGTTCATTGTAAAGGTGAATAAAGATCAATCAATGTATAAAATATAATATTTCTTTAAGGAAAAAGATGGAGTTTAAGAATTTTCTCTATCACATTTATACAGCCTAGGCAAATGGAACCAATCATACACAGCTTATATAAAGAATCAAAATAATGCCCGCAAGCAAAATAAATCTTGTTGGTGTAGGATGAAGATATGTATCAAGATTTTTGTTGTAAAGGCCACCCATGCATTCTAAATACCCAATTAAAATGGTTAAGTTTATAATTGTGCTAAAAATAATTATCCCACAAAGAAGAATGCTACATAAAAAAATTCATTTATATAAGGTAAACATTGGAACATGATGATATTTGACTTGTCATGAAGAGTACTAAAAGAGGTAAAATATTAAATGATACTCATCAGTGAGTATAAAAATGATGCTCATCGGTGAGTTAATATCTATACTAGAGATAACATTTGACTCACATTTATCAGTAATTCAATTTGGTGCTCAAGATTTAGTCTTATTAACCTATACAATTATCATAAGAATAATTTATTTTTAGTAAAATGTTTTAACTTGAATGTTACACAAGAGCAGAAATATGAATTATTATTATCAGTTGTTAAGTTTCATTTGGCAAACTGAACCACCAACTAAAGCATCTCATAGGATGAACAATATAAAAGCATATTCCTATATGAACAAATGCATGCCCTCGTAGTAGCATTGATTTCAAAAAGTTACATGTGAAAGAGACCGCATGATTGCTGGCAGCATGCATTTTCTTTTCTAGTTTTATTTTTACTTAAATTCATTTCAAACTTTGCCTATTTATTAATTTTTTATATTTTTATCTTTCTAGAATAAATTGAAATGATTAATAAAAAAATCAAAAATATATTTTATGTATCAAAAAATGAAAATATTATGAATAAAAATCTCTTTATAAATTAAAATTTAGATGTATATAGTCATTATTATTTTAAATTAAATTCAACTATAAATCATAAATAAAATAATAACTAAATTTTCACCTAAGGTTTTCATCAATCAAGTGAAAACGCATAATCATTGATGAGGGCACGTTCGGTCAACTTCAATTACGGTATGTTAAAAATGTCTTTGGATTCACACATTGAGCCATCTTATCTGACCCCCCGCACATCCAAATAAAATGATTTCAAATTTATTTAGATTATTTTAGTCCAAACACGTGATGTGTGGTACAGGTTTTTTTTTTTTTTTTTCATTTTCATTTTTCGAAAAGTGGTGCAGTTTTTCACCAATCAAGTGAAAACACATAATCATTGATGAGGCATGTTCGGTCAACTTCAATTACGGTATGTTAAAGATGCCTTTGGAAGTTTGGATTCACACATTGAGCCAACTTGTCTGACTCCCGGCACATTCAAATAAAATGATTTCAAATTTAGTGTTTGCTTGCTGTAACTGAAACTCTTAATAGATATGTTAAAGATGCCTTTGGATTCACACATTGAGCCAACTTGTCTGACTCCTCGCACATTCAAATAAAATAATTTCTAATTTAGTGTTTGCTTGGTGTAACTGAAACTCTTAATAGGTATGTTAAAGATGCCTTTGGATTCACACATTGAGCCAACTTGTCTGACTCCCCGCACATTCAAATAAAATGATTTCAAATTTAGTGTTTATTTGGTGTAACTGAAACTCCTAATAGAAATTTTGTTGAAAATAAATTATTATAAAAATATTATTTTTGAAAATAAAAAATAAAAATAAAATGATAATTTTATTAAAATT